GAAGGGCTAAGGGTGATTTATGGAGACTCCTGCTCGGGGTCAGGAGCCCTTGTTTACAGTGTATTAGCTTGAACTTGACCCAAAAACATTTCAGAAAAAAGTGACTTCTCAGTGTAAGTAGACCTCACAACTACAGAAGTTAAATGGATGAACTGGGAATGATGGTATTTATGTGTACTATCTAACTTTATGAACACCCCCCGATACCTTTGTTTTCAATTATAAGCTGTGTTGTAGTAGCCTTTCAAAAGAAAGTTTGTTAAACCTTTCCAAATGAACTTGAATAACTGTTTTTCCTGTTCTTGTGAAACAAAACTGAGGGCCTTGGAGTTCATGTGTATGCATGTCCATTGTAGGGCTCAAAAAGAGCATGAATTGCACTTCAGGGAGCCTAAGAGTGGATCTACCTATATGTAGGCAGAGAAAAGCAGAAAGTAGCCTGAAAAGTTATCACGGGGAACATAGGAGAGCAAATCGAAGGTACTGAGGCATAGAGAGAATAGCCTGGCTTGCAAATAGACGGGGAGAGTGTTTATGGTGAGGTGTAAAAGCATGTGTGTGTGTGTGGGGGGGGCACGACGACGACAGCATGGGACTATTGAAGAAAAGGCCTGGAGTTGCAGAAGGAATTTGGCTGTTGTGAAGGGGAAAAGGGGTGGGTGCTGAGGTAGTCTGGGGCTGCTCACTCGTGAGGACTGGGGTGTTCTCCCCAGAATGGGACATCAGCAGGAGAGTGAAATGATTGTGTTTCAGCACTTCTATCATGATAAGCATTGCTTGCTGTGCAGACAGAGCGAAAGCAGACCTGAAAAAAAAACAAAAACAACCCAACAACAAAACAACTGCAGTTAGGATACCTTAGAAATGTTACTGTTACTTGAAAGATAGTGAAGGGCAGCAAACAATACTTCATTTAGACTTCTGTTTCCTCTAACAAATTTGTACTATGGCATCATAGCATAGTTCCTTTGCATCTCCTTACTACGCTATATGGTCTTTTAGAGTGTCAAAGCACTTGATCTTTGAGAGTGGAGATGTAAACATACCACACTGCACACGGCACAGCCAGAAAGAGAAAGACCAGCTGGATGTTCTGACTTAGTTTTTAAGTGATCTATTCTTACTTTTGGAGGACCTCTCTATGTTCTGTTGTTCTCCTAACTCTGGCAGTGGTGTGGGCTGCAACCCTGAAAATAATCTGTAAATAGCCAGCCTAGCTCTTAGCTTTCAGAGTTTACTGAAAGTTAAGAAGAGGGAATTTATGAAGACTGCAATGAGCTTCAAAATGCCACAAAAGCTGTTAAATTTCTTTTTCAGTTTCAGAGGAAATGTTTACATGTATTTGTAAATGCTTATTGGCAACTTTTGAGTTCAAAGAGTATTTCCCTTTGTGTATGATACTTGTAGCCAACAGGTCTGTGGAGAAATCTTGATTTGAATTAGAATATCAGAATTCTACAAATTTATGCTTTTATTAGGAGACGTACCTATTTAACAGGTTAATGGAGAATCAGCATACTTTTTATTCAAAGCCCTAGACAGGAAATGTACTGCCCAATATATTAAAAATACATTGTTATAAAAGTAACTACACTATTGTATTTTAACTTACTAGTGCTAAAGTATCACGACTATCTCGGCTGCTGGTGAGGATGTAAGTGAAGGCAGTGCCACCTTGAGCCCTGGTAGCTCCTTACTCCTTCCCCACCTCGTTTCAGCTCTCATAGCCCTTGTGTGCCACCCTCTCCATTGTCAAAAGCACATATATAGGTAGCTTCACAATTGATTGAATCAAACAGTGGGCCTTTTTTTATTCCCTGTGGGGCTGTTTTTTGGCTGGACCAGTTCCCCGCTGTGCTTTCCTCTCCGTCTCTATGTCAGGTTTAGTGCTACCACAATAGAAGGGGTGACTTGAGGGGAGAAGTAAGTGGCTGGGAGAGGGCTCGTTTGCTTAAACCAGCTGTGGCAGCACTCAGAGCACATCCTGAGCTTAACTTGGTCTCTGTCTCCCCCAAGCATCCTCGTGGAAACTGAACTCTTACATTCATCTCCTATTTCCTGATAAGGAAAAAAGGCAGCCCAGCCTCTTACGTACAAATGAGACACAACTATGCTATCTGCCCTCTTTACAAGAACTGGAAACCCTCCTGTGTTCAGTTCATCCCTCAAATATGCTCTGGAGCTTTCTTAACCTTTCTTGAAACAGACTGTGTGGCATTCCACGCTACTCGGTTCGTGTAGTTGGCCTGGCCTAAGGCCAGGAACGAGCTGGGCCCCTTGTGCAGCCAACCACCAGGACTGGCTTCCACCTTCCTCTGGTCTTTGTGCCCTCCAGCGGTGGGCGCAGATGCAGCTGTGCTGCTCACATGCTTGGCAGCCGGACCCCTGCTCTCCTACTGCTCCGTGCCCCTCACCACTCACAACATGCATTTCTCTGGGTCTTGTGATAAAAGGAGCAGTCATCTACTTTCTGAACTAATACTGAAAACTCAGGACAATTCCTTAAGGAGATGCTGGCAGTATCTGTTGCATCCACATGTGCTTGCTTCTGACTTCTAAGCGATTTCTAATATAGAACAGTTAAAAATCAAATACTCTGATTTCCCTGATTCTCAGCTGGTTTGATGCTTGTCACAGACTTAAAGACCTACAGGACAAAGCATCTCTAATTTCACTTCGTAAAAATCTGTTTAAGGCTAGAAATTAGGAACATGTTTGTAAAAGCTGACTTTTCTGTAGTTCTCAGTTTTCTGTGTTCTCTTTCAACTTCCAGAAAACTCCTAAAATACTGCTGTGCAGTGTAGTCTCAAGACGTGTTACTAGGTTGAGATTTTGAAGGGGGGAGATGCCGAGGACATGTTTTATAAATTGTCTTCTGCCACTTCTACAGTCACTTCTACAATTCTGGAATTAATTCTGTTTTATTTTTTTCATGCAGAAAGACAAATCTTAATTTGGTACAGTGCCACAGACCTCATGACTCGGGAGTCAGTTCATCATGACTATAAATATTCAGCCCTGAGACAAACAGCCCATGTTCCTTGTCATGTATTTGAATGACCAGTGACAACTTTACAGAAGAAATGCTACCAGATTTTTCTTTGGGTCATTTTTGCCCACAAATGTCTTGTAGTTTTGGTTTTTTGTTCTGGTGTGGGTTTTGTTTTACGTCAACAAGGAAAACAGTGACATGCCTCATGCTTTTAGAGAAACTATTTTCAGTAATTTGTGCACAGTCCGTATACATAAGTAGTTGAAAATATGGGAACAAAATTATGAAATGAGAAACAGGCAGATAGTCCAAGGCCAGATTTTGACTAACTGGTTTTGTGTAGCTACTGTGGCACACCTCACCCCAAGAACCTAGAATTTCAGAAGTGGTCAGTATCTTTTCTCTTGCAAGAAAACAGAAAAGTTTTAATCCTTTTGCCCTCCAGCATAATAAAACCATAGTAAATCTTCCTGTAGCTACAACCACAAGAACAATGCAGCATCTAGCATTTCCTATGGGAGAAAAAAAATAATTAGCTCTTTCAGAGCTGTTCAAGAACTTCCCTCTCTGAGGAAATCCTAGTGTTGCTGTTGTTTTCACTCAAACTCAGCTGTGATTTGCATCAATTGAGATTTTGGGGTGTAGTTTTTTTTTGGTTGCAAATCAGAGATGATCTTGGTACATCTGTGGTTTTGTAGACATCCCAAGACTCCTGATAGGGAATAAGAAGACAGCTCTTGGAGGCTGTGTGCATTGTGGGACATCCAGTGGAAATCAGGACTGTCTGCAAGCCCTTGGTTTTGCAACCTGTCTGTCAGGGAAAGTGCCACCAGTGTCAGGGATTGCTACTGTCTCTGCAGCAGCAGCGTTGCCAGCATGAAAGATGTAAAAATCAGTCTTTTCCCATATCTTCTCCCCCATCTCCTTTGATGACAAAGCTGCTATTTAAAAAAAAATCATCCTTCTGGCTCTTCTATTTGCCTTGTGTTATTTTGAAATGGGAAGATGTGCTTTCTTCCTGTTTTAAAGCAGTGACTAGGGCTAAGAATTTGCCTTTTGCAATAGTTCTCACATGTTCAATTGAACCTATGCAACTCAGTAATAATCTATCCTCCCGTTTTTTAGGTAACCATCCCACTATATTGGGGATGGTCACCAGAGAGGCTTCTGCTTCTAACTCCCCAGAAAATGGATGGGAGAAATAATAAAATGTCCTTCTCTCCATGGCAAAAGCCCCAAGACCACAAAAGTTTGTGGAAATGCAGATACGCTGGCTAAAAAAAAAAAAAAAAAAAGAGTTTGCTGAATACCATAGATTACTTCTGGTTTTGGCAACAGATACACCAGATACTTCTGGTATCAGTTACAGCAGTTACAGTCTTTCCTTTTACACCAGTCATTATGAGAGCTTTTTTTCAGGATGCTAAAGACAGTGCCTATTTCCTCCCTGCCTATGGGGTTCCTCTATTGGTACCTGCTGGTAGAGCCCCAGCTGCCAAACTACTTAGGTCTGGGTTTCTAGCCATTGGTTATTTAACTACTTACACAAAGTGGAAACAATTTAAGAGATGAAATCTAGAATATCCCTCTTTCAGGACAGATACAGTAGTAGTATAGAGGAAATACAGGGTAGGATCCCTTAGAACAGATGAAGAAATTGTCCTAGTATGTCCCACAGCCCAGGAGAGAGTTTGGATCTCTGGGCTGCTCTGCTATCAAGTAGATTAATTTGTGTATACTTCCATATGCTGCCAAACATGACACTGGCACAGTCTGCATGCCTGAAGTACAAGAATGAGCCCCACCTAGTCTGCTTTCAGACAGGGCTGTGTTCCACAGATTTTAAAAGCTGTTGCTAACATGGTCAGTTCTGCCAGAGAAGACAGAGATCCTGATGATAAGTAACTTTGAAAAATAAGTTGCTTAATACACAAAAAATCTTATAGTAATTATTACAGGTCCTTCAACTTTAGTTTGCTGGGCAAAGAGTTAAACACTTCAAAGGCAGTTTTGTTTGGAGAATGTTTATTTGATCAAGTTCAGTGTGGCTTAGACCCCAAATAGAAATACTAGCTTCAAACAGAGCACTACTGTGAAAGCAGGAATAGTCTGTGGCCTTCCAGACCTCACAGGCTATGTTGGTTTGTTACCCAGAGTCAAAACAAAGATGTCCCTTAAAACACATATACATTAATTCAGTGTATTTCACACACCATAATCTTTTATTTTGGATCTGCTTTTCTCCCCAGTCATTGGGGCTGTGCCAAAGTTACTGAAATCCTGGATGAACTATAGACTGTTCAGTAAAAAGCCTGTATGGTATGACTGGGCCATCGGAGCTGTTTAGATCATTAGAGAACAGGCTTTAAATGCTACTGCTCTTGTTTACTAAGCTTGAAGTATTTAATTCTTCAGATTTTGGAACTGTGCTTATCTTTGCCTCTTGATACCCTTTACATTGCAGAAAGCAGGGTAAGGAAGAACCCAGCAGGTGCTTCTCTTAAATGGAACCTGGGAGATCTTGTTAGCTGTGGGGTGTTCTTTTTGTATTTTTTTTTTCAGCTGTCTGAATTGTAAGACTTCTAATAAATGCGCTAAGAATTAAAAAAGCATTATTAATACATGATGAGATCAATCACATAATGTAAAAGTCAAACTGATGCAGAAGCTATTAGTACAGGAACCTGGTATTATGCCAAATCTGGGGAGTTATCCTTGATCTATCTCCAGATCCTCCTTTTATTTGTAAACATCCAGCTAATCACAGACTTCCTCTTTCATGAGTGAAAGAAACTGCATCCTTTGTAGTATCTCTGAAGAGCTTTAACTTTGCAGATGTTCATGATTTGTGTGATGGGGAGGTATGAGCTCCATCTGGTGGATAACTGGAAACATGCATATTTACCTTTAAAAAGCTCAAAACGTTTCCACAGTTGAGCAGTTTACTGTGTGAAGAGTGAAGCAGATCCTCTTGCAGCTGTGCATTCCTTAAACAGCTTCTGTTTTCAGGGTAGCAAGAGGATTTTAGAGTCTGGGAGGAGGGCACAACATTTTACCTCTAGTCCAGCTTACTGTGGGCTAAAAGCTGTTACCAGTGCCAGCAATTCTTGGGTGTTCACAGTTCTGCGTGTACACCATACCACCACGGTTGGCACTGGTTTACAGTATTTTTGCAGTCTCATCGGAAAAATGTAATTTAATATTCATAGGCAGCCTACCTTCCCACATTCAGAGGTGGTCCCACACAGCGTAGTTGGTGTATTTGAGGATGGTGGTGTCAAGAAGCTCAGTCACACTGCATGAGCTATGTATGATCTGCAAATGACAGAGATCTTTGACTGTAAAATGCAGGCCGGCATCTTGATAAACAGCAGTGTTAAACACTGATGTTGCCTGGGGAAAAGTAATGTTCACATGCATACTGTAGTTAAATACCTTTTTTTTTTTTCCTCCTTTGTTAGTTTACAAACAAAAAAAAAAGGCATTTCTTGACCTTTGAGCTAGTCAGGTAAAAGCTACTTTGAGATAACAGCATCAGTCCAATGAATTCCCCTCAGAGATTTGAAGAAAGTAATAGGTAGACACATGTACTTGCTGCCAGAACCAGCAGTACTTTGAAGCTAGCAGTTTGCCCAAGACCTGCATGTTCACATCACCCTCCTGTCATGAAACAAAAGTAATTTGTCCCAGGTTGCTTTTTTGCCTACCATGAAGTACGTGACATGATACAGAGAGCAAATAAAATATACAGTCAGTTGTGGACCTAGCATATGCTGTGAGGGCCTGGACACATGTCACACAGGGTATGTTATAATGCACGCTGAAGTGTGGTGCACCACTCCCAAGGCTTTCCTCTCAAAGGTGTGCCAGCAAATTTAGCCCTGAGCTGGCCTTTAGGATGCTCTAACAGGTAAGTAATGCAGACAGCTGATAAACCTGGCTTATGTGCAGCTTTGAAGCTTTTCCTCCTCTGCAGTGTAGACACAGCTACTTGGTCCAGGCTGCCATGGTGCACACAGACACAGCAAGTGTAAATTAGCCAGAAGCAGGACAGTTGTGTATTTGTACAACATGATTTACGTATCCAGAGAGAGCAGTTGGTGCACCAACAAAAAAAAAACCCGGGGATTGTCTTTAAAAGTTACATCCACATGTTTCCAATTTCTTGACTGTTTGTGTCAGATACAGAGCTGCTCATATTTGTTATAAATTAGTTTGGTCAAAAGAGACTTATGGGAATTGTAGATGTTTATATCATTTATCTGCATTTAACAAAAAAAAAACAACCAACAAACCAAAACCCACAACCCCAAACCCAGAGGCAAATATGAAGAAGTAATAAGTATTCTAGAGTAAGGGGGGTTCTAAGCTATGACAAATCCAGGCTGAGGAGAAGTAACAGTCATGCAATGTTTTGAGCATCCACTAAGCTAAATCATAAACCACTGCTGGAAAGTAAAGAGAAGTTTTTCTTCAGTAAATCTTTAGCTGTTTTGCAAATGGAAGGCAAAGGAGAAAAGAACAAACAGAAGCTTCTGAAACAAGGTCAAAATATGTTTGAAGGTTAAATTACATTTTGTTAGGGTAGGGGTTGAAGGAAATGAACTGTATGGCTTTTAAACAGAGTTCTGATTGTGGTAGGTGCTCTGAATAGAACTTAAGGATGGGTATTTGGAGCAAAACCACACCATAGTGAGGTGGGAGGGACCACATCATGCTAGCAAATACAGTACTGGAGTGTGGGCTTCTGACTTTTAATATTTTTCTTGCATTTCTTTTCTGCATGGCAGTAGTGAAATAGGGACTTCTAAGCTTCTGAACAACTGAGAGGACCAGGTTTGGAGAAGACATGAGGAAGAACTGGTCGTCAAAAGATTTCATAAAAACTCAGAACTGCGTGTGCCAGATCTGAATTGGCACCACCTTTCCTTTTTTTGACATACTGCAGCAGTCGCAAAAGGCACCAAAACAGTCAAATTAGAACTTGCAGTAAAAGTTCTGTTGGACTCCTCTCTGTATGATAAAACTTACCTCCTTGTGACTATTATTTACACCTGTTAAAAACAGATTTGAAGACTCCTTTCATGGAGCAGCCAGCCAAAAGAGGCAGATGCCAGGTGTTAAGGGCTGCACTGAAATGAGTTTGCAGAATTTGCTATTCATGTGCTGGAGTGCTCCTTTTCTGAAATAAGGCTTCTTAGAACTTCTGTCAAAAACTGCTTAGATTTTTTTAGTTCAAACATTAGAAGTATATACTTATGTACAATGCTAAACTTGCCAAGTGTTAAAAAAGAAAAAAAAGTATGAGGTGAAAAAGAAAAATCTTAAAAGCAGAGGAAGGACAGGATGGTGAGAAAGATCCAGCTGACCTGATTCCCCTGCTGCCATGATCATCATTTGCAAGCTGAAGCGGACCTTCCATGAAGCACAGTGCTTGTATGTGGATAGTAAAGAAATGGTGCTCTGGTCTTATTACAAGAATGGTGAAATTTTTTTACCAACAAGGAGATGAGTAAATGTGAAATAATCTTCACAGGGCACAGGGTGCACCTTGTTCTAGATCTAAGCCTTGCAAAACCTGTCTTGAAGAGGAGAATCAGGCATTCATGTTCAGATTTAAACATTTTTAATGCATTTTTATGCATTTTTTATAATGTTTACAGCTAAATTAATGGGGGGGGGGGGGGGGAAGGGGGAAGCCCCAACCAAAAAAATAAGGCAGTAAATGTTTCAATTTAGGGCCAGCATGGATTTAAAAGAATATTAATTTCTTTTGTTTCCCCCAGACAGCAATGGGTCAGATTGAGACATGTAAGCAGACTAAACATGCTGATCTATATTCTGCTATAGTTACGCATCTTACTAATTCTACTCATGACTATAAAAGGATGTTTCATTGTTCAGTATAACTGTTATCTCAAGAAGTCTGTCTATAATTTTATATATAATTGGCATAATTTTCATTACTGTTGTTATGAAGTGTGTAAAATACTGTCTGTATTGCAGCTTGTATAGGGCATGTGTCTGTGCTTGCTTTACCCTTTTTGAGTTTATAAAGTTGCTATACAAATGCAAGAAAAGATGTTCAGATATTTTTGAATGTGGTTGCTTCATCTAATTACAGAGCCCTAAACATTTCAGTACATAGATGTTGAAAGTATCGGCTCTATTAACGCGTAACACCTTGAACATTAACGTAGGCATTTTAAAAGCCTTCAGTACAATACTGGAATGCTGATGCTTCTTCCCAGTGGCTGTGATGGAGCAAAGGGGAAGATGGTGACTATATGGGCAAAGCCAGATCCCACTGGGGATTCTGCAGGGAGAAGGCACAATGTAGCTGGCAACTCTGTTAGAAAATGGGGTGTCCTTGCCATAGAGAACAGGAAGGACCTTTACAGTAAGACCACCATGAAGCAGAGGAGAAAAGGGCATTATGTTTATAGCATCACCTAAAGACAGGCCTTTAACAGTATACTAAGCGTAGGACATCTAGAACAGGCTGTGACTGTTCTGTAACGTAGCAATTATTTGTAGTCTATGTTGAGTAACGCTGAAGACATTCCAGGTTAGTTTTCATCATCTTTAAAGCTTATTCTGTGCTTTGATACAGTATCTCTAATAAAATGTTCTTACAAATCTGCTTATTATTTTCATTTAATTCCATCTGATACCGGAGTTAATAACAGTCCTGACAACAAGGTGATGTTCCAGTTACCAGCTGTTTCATCTGCTCCTGCGTTTTTCCCATTCACCTGCTAAGAATGACAAGAAGGAAAACTGAGATGAGTAAAAACCAAATAATCATAGGAATGAGAAAATAAGAGAAATTTTTACTGCTGCTACAGTTCAGTTATTATAAACATTCTTTACACTAAGCATTTAAGGGAATCTGAGCAATTAATCAAATTATATTGATCTCTGAGTATGAAGTATTGGTCTTTGCCTGTGTTTACAGTACACTATTTCCCTTAAGACTTAAAATAACTGTATTTTACAGTTACTGCCAATAATTACAGTATGTTGTTTAACCCCATTCACACCAGTTCTAGACAAAATGATCTGTTTTCATTTATTCACCCCCTGGACCATGCAGAGCGTCCTTTTAGTATCTCCAAACAAGACTAAGCAGAATTCGACTTCCAAGTATACTAGAAGGTAAGATCAGAATTCAGAATAATCCTGGCAAGGTGCAAATGTGATCTGAAAACATAAGATGTTACTTAATAGGAACTAGGAACAAGTGCAAGATGGAATCATTAGCTGTGAAAGTAAAGGAACAATTGCTTAATTTCATAGAAGCATACAATGGTTTGGGTTGGAAGGGACCTTAAAGATCATCCAGTTCCAACCTGCCTGCCATGGGCAAGGACACCTTCCACCAGGTTGCTCCAAGCCCTGTCCAACCTGGCCTTGAACACTTACAGGGTTGGGGCAGCCACAGCTTCTCTGGGCAACCTCTTCCAATGTCTCACCACCCTCACAGTAAAGAAATTCCCAAGATCTCATCTAAATCTACACTTTCAATTTCCATTGAAAAGAATAAATGTGTTATTTTGCAAATCCTGCAAATTAGTCTGGAGCATCATGCTGTTGCAAATAAGGGTAGAACCTAAATGTCTAAACTGGAGTATAATCTGCCCCTTCAGAACTTCTAAGACATGAGCTAGTAACATCTCCAGTTTTGATCATGCACTTGAAGAGTAAGATACAAGTTGCATGCAGAGAATCCAGAAGAAAGCAATGAGAATGTCTAGAAGCTGAGAAAACTTTTGAGCACAGATTGAATGATTTTAGGTCATTTTACGGAAAAGATGATAAAAGGGAAACATGTTTTTTCATATATATAAAAGAATAAAATCACTTTTTCTCATGCCCACAACTGAGGAAAAAAAAAAATTACCTTAAATTGCAAGAAAGGAGATTTTAGTTAGACACAAAATGAGTCTAAATGATTTACCAAGGTCCTTTTCTGATCTGATTCTATTATTACTTGCAAACTATCTGCTTTAAAGTCCCTTTTTTATTACTGTCAGTAGAGCAGGCACTGACTGCAAGAAGAGGAGGCTGCAGTTCTAGGAAAGTAAAGAACTGCCTAAAATGCACAGCACACTAGTTCATCTGGTTAGCACTAGTGATACTAACCCCAGCTTTTAATCATGCCTCCGCAACTGTCAGAAGTCTATGTAAATGAATGTGTTTTAAAACCACTTAATTATAAAATAATTTTTCTTGAAACATCAAGCATTAGTTTAATCAGTGCTGACAACTTCCATGATTTTATTGAGTCTAATCAACCTGAAGCAGCTTAGTTTTTGTTGTGAGATAGTGTAATCAGCTATTTTAATTTTTTTTTTTTAAATTAGCTCTGCAGATTACATGGAAAATCCAAAAAGTGTAATCTGACCATATGCTAAAAACTAAAAAGCCAGAAGGTAAATAAAGCCATGTGTGTTTTTTAAGCTTGTAATTTTAAACTAGGTTTATAATTTTAGGAGATCTGACTAATGATTTTTGAACTTCTGGTTTGGCAATACCAAATTACCCTACCCTATATTCTGCTGTTCTGAGTATGTCCATATTAGTGATCATGCAGTTGTGTAATCTGCCAAAAACATACTGATTATCAGAACTTTGTTATTCACAAACACAAAGGAACACTTATTTAAGAAAAATCATGTATTGTGGCTGCCTTTCAAATTAACAAGGAGCATCTCTGTGCAAAAAGTGGAAGTATGTAAAAAAAAAAGTAACATAAAAAAGTTACATAGTTCCCTCCCACATACATGATGATTTTTAATACAGCAGCACCTTGTCAGATATCCTGATAGTTCTTGTCTGAGTTCCAGTTACTAGACATATATTCAAAAATATAAATTTGGGAAGATGTGAGATGAAGAATTTCAGTGATGAAAAGGTATTACGGCAAAGTATTCTTCATTCTAGCACAGCTGTTACTTAGACTTTTCTGAACTGATTGCTGTATTATAAAATAATTCATTTATCCTCACCAATACAATCTGATTTATGCAATATTCTGGATAGATTTACTAGGGAAATGGATATGAGGCAAATGGATACAAGGGAAATGGATACCAGAATTTAAGGTCTAAGGGCTTCTGATTTTCAAACCTGAACAGATCATTGCATTTTAACTTTTTAACATTTTAATGATTCAAGTGGCTGATGTCTGACTGAACTATAACTTGTATTCACTCCTATTTTTAGACTACACTGCCTTAGGAAATACCAAGATAAAGGGCTGAATTCTTAGCTCTGTGCCAGATACTGAGCTCTTGCTTCATTGAAGAATCTAAATACCACCTTCATTTCTGGCTGGGTGGTGTAACAGCAAAGATCCTACAGCACATTACATAATGCTGCCAAACAGGACTCATGGGTGTATTATTGATCCTAAACACAAATAAATGGATTAGGAAGAGGCCTCCTACTTCCAGAGGTGCTAACTTGCTGTTCTGAAAGTTACTAGGAAAATATGGCTTACACATTCAGGATGGGAGAATAACAGCAAATGTTTTGTTAAAGGGAAAATCAGACTTGTGCTGAAGTCCTCAGCATAAGCTCACACTTTAATTTCTGAACCAGTCTGTTTAGCTCACCTATAACATGACTGACTGCATGTGAAGCAACATAAACCATGTGGCTCTTCCCATATGAGAGTATGACAGCATAGATGAGCTGGTCCACAAATTCTTCAAGAAGTCTTGGAGAACTGCTGACAAAAAGCAGGCTTGTAATAGCTCTGCTGAGAAAAGGGAGTAAGTTTAATGATGTTTTGGAGGTTGCTCCCTCTAGTTAGACAGGACTTTCTCTAAGGACATTGTTAAGAGATGAGAGGTGATGGCAAGAACATCACATGAACTTCTGATTAGGAACAACAGCTTAAAGAGCAGCTCAGAACTGTACATATCATTCTATGAGAACAAAACAGTACCTATGTGCTCAATTGGAAAAGAAGTATTTCTGCCACAAGCTAAATGAAGTATTTGGTAGCCTCAGTCTACAGACGTTTTGATTTTTCCTGAGACTGACGAGTGTGTCACTTACACCGTAAGAATTAAAATTCCTCCAAAATCCTTCCCCCAAATTTACTATAGCAGAACAACCATTCAAATGATGAAATAAATAGGACTGAGGGAGTACTATCAGGATAAGCAGTAACCCAGTCAATGCAAACAGCTCTTTAACAGGTTATCAGCACATCTGGGATATCAGCACATCTGGGTATCAGCACAACCATATCAGGGACATACTAGTTACTGGGCCAAGGAAACCCCGAATAAGTTTTGTCTGGAGCTGTTGTATGTATTTTGTGCCTGAGCTGATAAAACATATATTAAAAAGCTTTAGGCCAAAATTAATGAAATGTCACTTCTAAATCTGATAAAAACCTGACTGATGACAGCTACACTTAAAAGGGGTATCAAATTAATTTTGCTGCAAAGACTGGTTATTGTGTTAATCGGTGTTGTATTATTTCTTAGCTCTCTGCATCTCTCTTTCTGTACATGAGGCAGGAATCCTCTTTTTACTCAGAAATAACATGATCTGAGTTTGTACTGCAGCTATCAAAACGGGGTTCTTGTGCATTACTAGTGCTCCCAAGGGACGATCCTCACGAGAACACAAATAATAAATAATACCAACTTTTCAGCTGAAACGGAATTTATCAATCACCTCTCTGTATTGCTCTGGAATTTCTCCTCTCTCCATACGATACAATCAACTGAATGAAGTAGCAGTGAATTACAGGAAGAAGATAGCTTGGTGATGAATCAGTCACTGGTCTAACTACAAGAGAAATCGATACCCTTCCCATCAAAGAAATATGCACACGGTATATATGGAGCAGCTCCTGTTGGAGGCAGGGAGAGCCGACTGTTTCCATTTTCCACTGACTTACTCGGATTTCCCCGAGGTCAGAACCTCTGTGAAAAAAGACCAGGATATGTGGGAGAATAATAAGTTACTTAAGCATGTACAGTATTTACTGTCAGAAATGGAAGCTCTTCCATCTCAAAGCTACATACCACAGAAAAGAGGTGGAATCTTCATGTCTTGCAAAAAGGTTTTGAAAACCACACTAATTGCAGCAAGGATGTTTTTGATCGGGAGTTGGAGTATCTATAGTAACTGCGTGAAAACAAACCAGGCTGGGAAAAGGTGTAACGTATTTTCTATGAGGGCTGCTACTGCGTAACGCTGAAGGCTGGGGACAAAATTAGTGATGATTTAAGCGTCCGGCGTATTTAATACTTCTCTCACGTAACACGTGAAGTCTGTGGGTGGCAGACTTTTAGCCGCACTTTTAAAGTAGCTATCGTAAAGGAGCTACTCACTAAGCCTCGGAGAAAAAAAGAACTCGGTGTGGTATTTTGCTCTCCTTACTGGAATATTTTGAAGCGTTTGTCTCAAAGTAAGGAAGAGTTATTTGGAGGAAGCACAGCAGCGCATTTTCATGTGTAATAGATTTCCATCAAAGCACTTTCCCAGCTCCGAGTTAATAGCTTCATAGCTTTTGCTAAATGTAGGCGTGACGACATTCTGCATTAGCACAACAGAAAAAAATTTGGAGACGTTTCAAGAATGGTCACCACGCAGGAACACGCAGCAACAGAGCTTCCCAAGCCCCTAACTCCTTCTTTCCATGTTTGCCTCCTGGTACCGGGACAGGCTACCCGCCGCCTCGGCAGCACCCACAAGCCGTGACTGACCACCGACTGCGCCGCTCAGGGCGAGGAGAGAGCCCGCCCGGGCGGGTATGTGCGCGGAGGGCTGTCAGCCAGCCAACTGCTGCCGAAATAAGGCTAAAAACTGCTTCAGCCTTCGCTCGCTGCGGGACCTTCCCTCTGCCATAGCTGGAGGGCGACAAGCTACCGGCACTGCGGAGGTCTCCTCAGGCTGGCGGCGCCTCAGCCCCGGCTCCACCGGGGTCGCGGCGACAGGGCGGACACGGCTCGGCTGCCGTTTGGCACTGACAAGCCGCGGGTTCAGGGGGGACTGGAGGGGGTGTGTGTGGAGAGAGCTGAATTTCTGCCTCCCCGCGACCAAATAAGGGTAAATTCCCCATCGGCTGGCGGCCGGCTGCGAGATGACCGCAGCGCTGAAGAACACCCCGAGGGGCGGCTACGCTCCTCCCTCCCGCCACTGCCCTCAGCGCGATGAACAGGCGAGTCGCATAGTGACCAGCCGGCCTGCCCCTCCGGGTCGCGGCGGCCCGATCCCCATTGGATAGCGCTGATGTCAGTCACCGGCCCTGCTTCGAATGCCTACGGGAACCTTCTCGCAACGTTTGCGGCGGGGCGGGGCCAGTGCCAAGTGCGTGTGGTGATTGGTGGAGAGCTATGGCGCAGACTGCAAGACGAGACGGATCGAGAAGGACCCGGAAGAAGGCGTTCGTTTGGCAGCGGTACAGCGGGGAGGGCTGGGCTAGCGGGTGGGAGCCACGGCTCTGATTGGCCAGAGGGTAGGAGGTGGGTGCTCTCCGGTAATTCTCAGAGGCGATTGGCCGGTGGCGGCGGGCCGGTGTCCAGATTGGCCATCAGGGTTCTGGCAGGTTCCAGAAGACGGCCCAGCCGGCTATAAAGTGTGCGGCAGCGGCCGGGGACCGGCACATCGCGCCGCGGAGAGCAGCGAGAGCGAGTGGCGGGAGAGGCCAGCGTGGGTGAGTGGCTGATCAGCGCAACCTGACATCATGTCTGGCAAAGGGCCGGCAATCGGCATCGACCTGGGCACCACGTACTCCTGCGTGGGTGTCTTCCAGCATGGCAAAGTGGAGATCATCGCCAATGACCAAGGGAACCGAACCACACCCAGCTATGTGGCCTTCACTGATACAGAGCGCCTCATCGGTGATGCCGCCAAGAACCAGGTGGCTATGAACCCTACCAACACCATCTTTGATGCTAAGCGTCTCATCGGCCGCAAGTATGATGACCCCACAGTGCAGTCAGATATGAAGCACTGGCCCTTCCGTGTGGTGAATGATTGTGGCAAGCCTAAGGTGCAAGTGGAGTACAAAGGTGAGATGAAGACTTTCTTCCCAGAGGAGATCAGCTCTATGGTCCTAACCAAGATGAAGGAGATTGCTGAGGCCTATCTGGGTCGCAAAGTGCAGAATGCTGTCATTACAGTGCCTGCTTACTTCAATGACTCCCAGCGCCAGGCCACCAAAGATGCTGGCACTATCACTGGCCTTAATGTGATGCGTATTATCAATGAGCCCACAGCAGCTGCTATAGCCTATGGCTTGGACAAGAAAGGTACTCGAGCTGGTGAGAAGAATGTGCTCATCTTTGACTTGGGAGGGGGTACTTTCGATGTGTCCATCCTTACCATTGAGGATGGAATCTTTGAGGTGAAGTCCACAGCTGGTGATACCCATCTGGGTGGGGAGGACTTTGACAACCGTATGGTGAACCATTTTGTGGAAGAATTCAAGCGTAAGCACAAGCGTGACATTGCTGGCAACAAGCGTGCGGTGAGGCGGCTGCGTACAGCTTGTGAGAGGGCAAAGCGCACCCTCAGCTCTTCCACACAAGCTAGCATTGAAATTGACTCCCTCTTTGAGGGTATTGACTTCTACACTTCTATTACCCGTGCCCGCTTTGAGGAGCTCAATGCAGATCTCTTCCGTGGTACCCTGGAGCCAGTGGAGAAGGCTCTGCGTGATGCTAAGCTAGACAAGGGCCAGATCCAAGAGATCGTGCTGGTGGGTGGCTCTACCCGTATCCCGAAGATCCAGAAGCTTCTACAGGACTTCTTCAATGGTAAAGAGCTCAACAAGAGCATCAACCCCGATGAGGCTGTTGCTTACGGTGCTGCAGTGCAAGCCGCTATCCTCATGGGAGACAAGTCTGAGAATGTGCAGGATCTGCTGCTGTTGGATGTTACCCCTCTGTCCCTGGGCATTGAGACAGCGGGTGGAGTGATGACTGCTCTCATCAAGCGCAACACCACCATTCCCACCAAACAAACTCAGACCTTCACCACCTATTCGGACAACCAGAGCAGCGTCCTGGTCCAGGTATATGAGGGTGAGAGGGCTATGACGAAGGACAACAACTTGCTGGGCAAGTTTGACCTAACGGGCATCCCCCCAGCACCCCGTGGAGTCCCCCAGATCGAGGTCACGTTTGATATCGATGCCAATGGTATCTTGAATGTCAGTGCTGTAGACAAGAGCACGGGTAAGGAGAACAAGATCACCATCACCAATGACAAGGGTCGCCTTAGCAAGGATGACATTGACCGTATGGTGCAAGAAGCAGAGAAATACAAAGCAGAGGATGAAGCTAACAGAGATCGGGTGTCTGCCAAGAACTCCCTCGAGTCCTACACTTACAACATGAAGCAGACAGTGGAGGATGAGAAACTGAAGGGAAAGATAAGTGACCAGGACAAGCAGAAAGTGCTTGACAAGTGCCGGGAGGTGGTCTCGTGGCTCGATCGCAACCAGATGGCTGAGAAGGAAGAGTATGAGCACAAACAGAAAGAGCTGGAGAAACTCTGCAACCCGATCGTCACAAAATTATACCAGGGGGCTGGAGGTGCCGGGGCAGGTGGCTCCGGTGGCCCAACCATTGAAGAAGTAGATTAAAGAGGACTGAAACATAGACTGGTTAATGGACAGTCACTCCATTCTTTGCTTTGTTTTGTGGTTTTTTTTGTTGTTTTTTTTTTTTTTCCCTAACCTTTAAGGAAAACGTCCTTGCTGGTAACAGAGTTTATTCTGTTGGGTGTGTATAAAGGCAGATCTGTCAGCTTGGTTTTGATAAAAGGGAAGGCACGTCCTGCTTTATAAGGTTAGTAATAGACAAGTTTTGTTAATTCAGATACGGCTGTTTGTACTCTGGATGTTTGTTTAAGTGTCTCTTCTAAAGTAACCACTTGACTGTTGCAGCTGCCAAGTTTCAAGTTATGCATGAGAATCTTTACAGAAGATTAAAAATATATGCCAAATTCAGCTTCTGGAAATTTTGGTAATAAATAAAACTTATTTAAAGCATAAACATATCTTCCTCCTCTCTGTGAAGGGGCAGTAGTGGGGTGGGTGTGTGAGGAGGACCTTCCTGGTGGTGTCTGCAGCCCCTGAGCTCTTGCACCCAGGAACGTGCTGGGAGCAGAAAGTGAGTAAAGTAGCTGCTGCGGTGAGATGGGGGGTGGCAGCTTGCTGGAACAGAGCACAGCCTGGGGAGCACTGGGGAGGGAAAA